CGCGCGACGCCGATGACGGTGCTTCGTGGACGCGACGTGGAGGGGGACGGCGACGCGGCGGCGGCGCGATGGAGCGAGACGCGCGCGCGGGCGAGACGGGCGCGTGCTTCGGGACGCGTGGGCGATGCGTCGGCGGTGGTCGGGGTGGAGGGTGATGGTGGTGATGATGCGAGTGATTCGTCGAGCGATTGGGGGGGGTGGGAGGGGGAGGAAGAGGCGATGGGGGACGCGGCGGAGCTCGAGGCGAAGACGACGGCGACGCCCGAGCGGGGCGATTCGCGCGATGACGACGATGGGTCGATCGAGAGCGACTCGGACGTGGTGTCGGTGAAGTATTTTCCGCCGTTGATGTATCTGTCGGTGGGTGAGGACGCGTTCACGCTGCCTCCGGGGCTCGCGCGAGACGTCGGTCGCGACGCCGCGCGCGCGCTGACGGGGGAATCGAGGACGCACGGAGTGGTCGGGCATTACTTGGCCGAGATCGCCGCGCATTGGGCGCTCGTGCCGGATTATTTTGCACTCGGCGCGAACGCCGAGGCGGTGGCTCGAGTGGCGGCGACGACGCGCGTCGAGCCGGTGGGCGTCGACGCGAGCGCAAAGCCGCGTTCGGCCGCCGTCGTCATCGTCGATAGAGAGATGGATTTGATGACACCGAGCACGAGTCGAGATGGATGGCTCGAGCGCGTGTTGGACGACGACTCGAGAGACGTGGACGCGACGGAACGCGTTGCGTCCATGTTGTGCCCGCTCTCGAGCGACGCGGCGGCGGTGGCCCTTGACGAGGCTCTGTGCGCGAAGACCGCTCGAGACGGGGCGATTCTCATTCAAAAGCTTCTCAGAGAGGCACTGCGCGCGGAATCCATCGATGCACCGGTGATCGATGCGAAACAGACCGGAGTCGTCGCCGCCGAAGACCTAGAGACGCTGACGCAGGCGCTCGAGTCTGATCCGAACGTCGCTTTGCGTCGTCGCGCGTTGATTCAGCGCGCCAAGCTCACCGCGAGCGGACTCACGAGTGAGAAGGAGATGCGAGCGAACAGGCAGATCATCGCTGTACAGCGACTGACGTCCGCGGCGCTCGAGGGTGGTGCTCGAGCGGTGTGCGCGACGACGATTGAGATTCTCAAAATGTTGTACTCAGCGGGCGGCACTGCGGCGGGGCGCGTGCGTGAGGCGTTGGCGCTCATCTTAGCCGCGTACGTCATCGCGTGCGAGTCGAACGCGTGCGCGCGAATCGACGACAGAGGACGTTCGCCGTTTGCGGAGCGAGACGAGACGGAGCTTCGAGACGCGTTTCTCAACGCGCTTCTCGCGAGCGACGCCGACGCCGCGCGCGAGCAACTCGGCGCGACTTTCGATGCCAGAGCGCTCGCGGCCATCAACGTCGTTCGACAGCGCGGTGGCACGACGACGACGACGCTCGCGGAGAGCGCCAAGACGGACGAAGCGGACGATTGGGGCGACGACGACGATTGGGGCGACGACGATTGGGAAAATCCAGCCGCGCCGAGAGACAATCCGAGCGGTGATGACGCCGGGACGACCACGAGTACGTTCTCAAACGAGGATGATCCCGAGGTGAAAGTGGCCCTGAACGATGCTCGAGCCGCGGTCGAGCGCACGCTCGCCCGAGCCGGTCGCGTCGCCGCCGCCGGTCGCGGTTGCCTCAAGCATCCGCGAACAGAGCCGACGTCGCTCTACGCGCACGGCTTACCCAATCCCACGATATTGGATCTCATCGATCGAGTACAATCAGCGACGGATGATCAAGGCGTGTGCGCTAATTTTGTCCACGTTGCCTCATCGCTCGGTGGCTTGCTCAAGCGCGCCGCGAACACTGCGTCGGCGTCAATCGTCACCGGCGCCATGGGTCGTCTCGGCGCTCTCATCGACAAAGTCACCGCCGCGCCCAAACCGAGCGATCGTGACGTTGTCATCATCTTCATCCTCGGTTCAGTCTCCTTGGGCGAGTTCTCATCCTTCAAGGCTAATCGCGTTTGCGCCATCGAGCGTGCTCAAACGCAACGCGGCGCCAAATCCGCCCAAATCATTCTCGGCGCTCTACGTCTCGATCGCTCCGGCGACGCCGCCCTCGCCGCGCTCACCGCTTAAACGGCACACCGACTGCGCGCATACACTGAAATTAGCGCGATTTTAATCGCACCTCTAGTCCTAGCGCCACCCTCCGCCGCGTCCGCCGACGCCCACCCGCGCCCAGCCGTCGCCCCATCCACGCCCCACCACCAAAATCGTGTAGGCGAACAGTATGTAGGGTTTAGATTTTCGGCTCAGATTCAAAACCACCGCGCGATCGTCCCCATCGTTCGCGTCTCCGCTCCGGCACACCGCTTCGCTCGATCGACGCGAGCGCGCGTTCGAACCGAACTTTTCACGCGCACGCTCCATCCCTCGCGCGCGCGCGAACACGTCGACGTGTGCACGCCACGGGCTCGAAACATGTCGAATCAAGACGTGGCGGCTGCGCTCGATCGAGCCAACCCGAGCGCGTTTCAACAGCTCCTGAGCGGCTTACAGAGCGCCGATAACGAGCATCGTCGACGATGCGAGAGCCTATTCGAGGCGTGTAAGACGCACGGTGATTCCCTGGCGGAGAGCTTGATCGGGGCGCTTCGGACGAGCCAAGACGCGCGGACGCGGGAGCAGAGCTGCGTCTTGGCGCGAAGAGCGTTCACGTCGGAAGACGGGAAGATGTGGGTGAATTTGGGAGCAGAGACGCGTGAGCGCGTGAAGAGAGAATTGTTGAACGCGTTGAGAGAGGAACCGGAGCGGAAGATTTCGCGAAAGACGTGTGACTTGATTTGCGAGGTCGCCGCGGGCGGTTCAGAGCGGGACGAGCCGTGGCCCGAGTTGATGCCGTTCATGTTCAGCGCGGTGAGCGAGGGCGGTGAAGGGTTGAAGGAGAGCGCTTTGAACGTGTTCGCGATGTTGGCGCCATTGATGAGCGAGGCGTTGGTGGGGCAGATTCCAACCTTGCACGCGACACTGAACGGGAGTTTGGCGAGCTCGGACACGCAGGTTCGATTGGCGGCTTTAAGAGCGACCTGCTCGTTCGTTGACGCTTTGGAAAACGCGAGTGATAGGACCAAGTTCCAAGATTTGTTGCCGGCGATGATGAACACGCTGGTGGAGGCGCTAAGAGGGCAAGACGAGAGCTCGGCGCAGGAGGCGCTCGGGTTGTTCATCGAGCTTGCCGAGTCGGATCCGCGATTTGTGCGCAATCACCTTACGCAGCTCGTGGAGGCGATGCTCAGCATCGCCGAGCACGAAGATCTGGAGGACGGCACGCGAACACTCGCGACCGAGTTCTTGGTGACGCTCACGGAGGCGAGAGATCGGGCGCCGGGGATGATGCGCAAGGTTCCGAACTTCGTCCCTCGTCTGTACAACTGCCTTGTCTCGTTCTTGTTCAATGACATCGAGGACGACGAAGATTGGCACACTGCGGAGAATGAGGAGGACGAGGGCAGCGGTCAAGGTGATCTCTACGACGTCGGACAAGAGTGCCTGGACCGCATCTCCATAGCGCTCGGTCCCAACTCCATGCTCCCAGCATGCGCCGCCACCATGCCGGCGCTCATCGGCGATGCGGATTGGAAGAAGCGCCACGCCGCGTTGATCGCGCTCTCGCAGATCGCCGAGGGCTGCGCCAAGGGCATGAAGAAGGACGTCGTCGGCGCTATTCAACCTTGCTTGCACGCGCTCTCCACGGACCCGCACCCGCGCGTTCGCTGGGCCGCCATCAACGGCTTGGGGCAAATGTGCACCGATCTGGGACCGAGACTTCAGGAGAAGGCGCACGCTCAAGTCTTGCCTCTCCTCTTAAACGCCATGGACGACTCAAAGAACCCGCGTTGCCAGGCACACGCGGCAGCAGCAACTGTCAACTTCAGCGAAGACTGCCCGCCTGAGTGCATGGCTCCGTATCTGGACATGCTCATGAACAAGCTCATGACGCTTCTGCAATCCGGGAACAAGTCGGTACAAGAGGCCGCGCTCACCGCTCTCGCATCGACTGCAGATAATGCTCAAGAGTCGTTCGTCAAGTACTACGACGTCGTTCTTCCATTCTTGAAGGCTATCTTGACCAACGCCAACGGCAAGGAGTATCGCATGTTGCGCGCCAAGGCGGTGGAGTGCATATCTCTCGTCGGTATGGCTGTTGGACGTGCCCGCTTCGCGGCGGACGCTCGCGAGATTATGCAGATGTTGATGCAGCTTCAGTCTGGCGGATTCGAAGACGACGACCCCACAGTGCAATACATGCTTCAGGCGTGGACCCGCCTGTGCAAGTGCCTTGGCGAGGAGTTCGTCCCGTACCTCGAAATCGTCATGCAACCGCTACTCAAGTCGGCGAACTTGAAGGCTGATGTTATCATCACCAACAAAGACGGGGACGGCGAAGAAGAGGAGGAAGAGGAGAATGAGGAGTATGAAAACGTCGATTACGGAGACAAGCGCGTGTCCATTCGCACCGCCGCTCTCGAAGAAAAGGCGACCGCGTGCAATATGCTGTGCTGCTACGTGGACGAACTCAAGGACGGTATCTTGCCGTACCTCGAACAGATCGTGCAGACGATGATTCCGTCCCTCGAGTTCTACTTCCACGAGGACGTTCGGCGCGCCGCCGTCACGTGCTTGCCGGATCTTCTTCGCGCCGCCAAGATCGCAGTGAGCAAGGGCGCGAAGGACCAAGCGTGGTTCGCTCAATTGGTACATCATGTCATTCCGCCGCTCATCACGGCGATGGAGAAGGAACCGGATGTTGAGGTTCAGGTACGTTCTACATTTGAAACGCGCACGGAGACAAATGATGAGACTTATGGATTCCCCTTCAAGACGCCCCAAAGGCGCTGTTGATAAATCCGATAACAGTCCCTGATGTTACTTTTTGTGTGTTGTCTTAATATTTCTCGAGCTTTTTCGCGATCAAAGTACTGACCGACGAGTTTTGTTTTACGCACGTCACAGGCGCGCATGCTCGAATCGCTCGCGGAGTCCGCCGGTGAAGCCGGTGAGCACGTTCGCGATCACCTGCCGAAGATGCTCGAGACGTTTAAAGTGCTACTCACAGAGTCTCTCGAGCGACGCGCCGAGCGTAATAAACGCGCGGGGACGGATGATTTCGATGAAGAGGAGATGCAAGCGCTTGAGGAGGAACAGGAGGCTGAGGACGACGTGTTCGATCAGTTCGCCGAGTGCGTGGGATCTTTGTTGAAGAGTTTCCACAGCGCAATTCTCCCCGCCCTTGAGCCCCTCCTTGGTTTCATCGTTCCTCTACTGGACAAGAACAGAACCCCTGCGGAGCGACGCATCGCCATCTGCGTGTTCGATGACATTTTCGAACACGCGAACGACGGCGGTGCAGCACTGAAATATTTGGACGGTTTCGTTGTTCCGTGCATCGCCGGTTGCACTGATAACGACGCGGATGTGCGACAAGCGTCTGTGTACGGGGTGGGTATCATGGCAGAGCACTGCGGCCAAAATTTTTCCCCGCACGTGCCCTCCGCGCTCACCGCACTCGCGAGCGTTATCCAGGCTCCAGGAGCTCGCGAAGACGAGAACATTTATGCGTTCGAGAACGCCGTCGCGGCGCTTGGTAAGATGTGCGAGTTTCAAAGTTCGGGGCTGGATGCGAACGTGATCCTGCCCTCATGGTTGGCCAACCTCCCAATAACCGAAGACAAGGTAGAGGCGAGAAACGTGCACGCGCAGCTCATGCGGTTGCTCGAGCTCAACGGTAGCGCCATTATGGGCGCCTCCTTCGAGCACCTTCCTCGCGTTGTGAGCGTGCTTGCGGACGTCCTGCCCACTTCCGGTTTGAGTGCGAAGCTCCGCCTCGTCGAACCGGATGTTGCGGCGAAGATGAAGCAATTCCTTGTTCAGATGCAAACGCAAATCCCGCAGGAGGCACTTGGGAAGGCGTGGGGCGTCTTGTCTGCAGAGAAACAAGCCGCGCTTCAGGCAGCGATGCAAAGTTGAGAACAGGAAACGTTGGTATAAACGATGATAGTGATTAAAAGAGACCGCGTCTTCGTCGCGTTCGAGCGAGCGACTCCTCGTCTCCCTCCTTATCGAGCTCTCGGCGTCTTCTCCGGATCGATCTGTACCCAGTCGTACCGCCCGTCGTACTTCTTCCGATCGAAATCTGGTAAATCGAACGCGCTCCCTGCTCCCAGATTGTTGAGCTCGTGCGCTCGGAGCAGGGCCTTGTCGTACGTCGCCTCCGTGGACCCGCAAGAGCCCACTCGCAGGAACTCATTGTTCGCGTCGAACGCCAAAATCTCATTAAACCCACCGAGACGGATCTTGATCGCTTTGAACGCCAGTCCAGTCGCGAGCGCGATCGATTTCTTCACCTCCGCCTTGGAATCGCGCTCGTCCACGTCGCAGTCGACGTAGTACACGGTGAACGGGCCGAGCTTGGATTTTATCACCGCACCCTCCGGATTCGGCGGTTCAAAGTAACACGTCACGCGCGTTTTCATCGCTTCACCCGTCACTCGATCACGTGAGTAATTATTACCGCCGCGTAACACCGCACTTTCCCACCGCACGCCGCGCTATCGCGCCGTCGCGTCTCATTGTTCGCTCGTCCGAGTGACAAAAACACGAAAAAAAACGCCTCTGGCGCTCGAGCGTTTCGGTGAAACTATCCTTGCGTACCCACCTACCAGTAACGTCTTTACAATACGCCACCTCCATATACCCCAATACTTTCACCGATGTGTACGTCAGTCGTCGACGCGATGCGAATCATCGACGCGCCGCCGCCCGCGCGCGCGTCCGCGACGTCGACGAGCGCGCGCGATCGCGAGATCGTGACCTCGACGAGCGCGCGCGCGCGGTTCAATCGCGTCGCGACGCCGTTTCACGGTGGAGATTCGAGCGAATCCGAGGTGGAGAGCGATTTCGACGAAAGCGACGCGTCCGACGACGATCGCGACGACTTCGAGGGCTCCGATGGCGCGCGAAGCGGTGCGAATTACGTGTCGGTGTCGGGTGCTGGGGAGGGTCGGCAGTGCGTGGTCGTCGGGAGCGACGGCGTCGCGCGCGGGGTGTGGCGAAGCGTTTTGTTCAGCGAGGGCGACGATACGAACGATGTGAGCGTCGACGAGGCGTTCGAGCGGGTTTTGCGGTCGAAGGATAAACCTTGGGTGGTGGTTTTAGCGCGTGGTGGGATGTTCGCGGCGAGCGCGTTCGATTTGAGTAAGATTGGAGCGGAGGGCGCTGCGCCGCGAGAGGCGGCGATTCGGCACGCGACGGCTCGGAGATACGTCGTTCGGGCGAAAGCGGGCGGGCGGCAGGTGAGCAAGGATGGTGGTGGAAAGAACATTAAGAGCGCGGGGAGCTCGATGCGTCGAGCGAACGAGCAGGCGCTTGAGGCGGACATGCGACAAACTTTTACGTCGTGGAGAGACGTGGTAGAGGTGCGTTAAGACTCGGCGCAAAAAAAATGACATCGCGAACGATCCGGATGATGTAAAAACACACGCTGAGAACGTGCGTGGGGTGTGGCGGTAAAATGTCACGCTTGGCGCTCGAGTGGCTGTGCCGTTCGAAATGAGGGATGGTGAACCGCTCAAATCGATTTTGACGGACACATGCGCGAGACGCGAATGCGTCAAGGACCGCCCAGTGTCTGTCGAACCATCGATTTGCGTCCACACCGTCTCTAGACGAACGGCTTTGGGGCCCTCCGTGAGAAGCTTTGCTATGAGAGCTGACGGATCGCCGCTCGATTTTTCGTGATTTTTTCTTATTCGGACGCCTCGACTAACCCGACCCGCCTCGACGCAGAGCGCGAGTCTGATCTTCGTCAGCGTCAGCAAGGTGGACGCGAGGACTATCTTCAATGATAAGAACCCAATGCTTGATAGAAACGATCCGCGCGTGCGTCGGGTTCCGTTTATGACGGGACGTCCGACGTTCAACGAGACGCGTCGCGTCGTCGGTCGTCTGGCGACGCTCAATCTCAACGTCGTCGAGGAACCCAAGCATCCAACGCCCGAGGTGGACGACGATCTCGCATCGCTTGCGGATACGAAGTTCGTCATAGCAGCGCGACCGGCGGGGACACCAGCAGTACCAGAACCTATACTCGAACCCGAGATCGTCGTTCCAGAACCCGAGTTGCACGCCGCGGCGAGAACCGGAGACGCGGCTCGCGTGTACTCAATGATCGTCGACGAGAGCGCGGATCCCACGGAGACGTTTAAGGGAAAGGTAGCGTATAACGTGAGCAAGGACAAAGAGACGCGCGACGCGTTTCGTCGAGCCATGGCAAAGCTTCCTGAGGCGTGGGATTGGATTCACGGAGCTGCCGTGCCTAGTGCGTTGACGGACGAACTTGAGGCAAAACAAGCGGCCAAGGAGGCTGAGTACGAAGCCGCTCGCAAGGCGAAGGAGAAAGAGCGGAAGAAGACGCAAAAGGAGCGAAAGAAGAAGGAATCTGCGTCGGCGGCGCTGTTGGCCAAGACCGCGCCGCCCGAGCCATCCGCGATCGGGGAGAAAAAATCAGCCACGCTGCTGGATGCGGCCGACAGAGAGGCGAGAGAGCGCCGTGAACAAATGGTGCGTACGAAAACACATCGTCGTCGTAACTCGTACCACTCGTATTCGCGTTCGATCGACTCATCAAACCACGTTTTGTTTACTAACGCAGGCTCGCGCAGCAGAACGACGATTCGCGCAAGCGAAGAGCCCGGGCGTCGGCGCGCTCGGTGGGGCAAACTTTCGCGACACGACTTCGATTGGCGGTGGGACGATTGGCAGTTAGCGTGAAACATAATGCAGGCACCATGGCGCGCGGCGCCGTGCTCGGAGCCGCGCTCGCGGTCGTGCTTCAAAGCAGGGCAGAGAAGCGACGCTCGTAGATAGAAACATCGTGTGATGGAATAATTAGTTCCTTAGAAATTAAAAACATTACGCGCGCTTCGCCTCGATCGTCTGCAGGCAATCGACCACCGACGCGCCTTCCTGCATCTTCTCCGTCAACGCGTCGAACGCAGCGCGATTTTCGGAGAGAATGGTCGCCGCTTGAAACACCGCCCAACGAGTTATCTCTTGTTGACTCGCGTCGTTCAACTTTGGATCGACTCTGTTCAAAATTCTCTGCAGATCGAACAGATCGGCGCTCTGACCCATTACTTCCTCGAACTCCATCGCTTCCGCGGCGACGCCAGCCATGGAGATCACCGCGAGCGGCAAAACCTCGCTTGAGCTGAGTTTCGCCCCTTGGAAAATTTTCCGCTCAAGCTTGCTCTCCATAAAGTTTACGTGACTCTCATCGATCCCGAGATTGTACGACCCGACAGGAACGCCGCACGCATACCCAACCAAAAAGTGACCAGCCTCATGTCTAGCGATCCTTCGTCGATACTCTGGATCCACGCGCGCCAGGCGATCCGTCGCCACTCGAAGCAACCCGGGCGCCGTCGAACCGACGGCCAAGACAACGATCGGAATCCCACCAAGTAAATACGCACCGAACGCCCCGATATCCCCCGGTAACGTCGCCCCGACCACGACCGCTGCCAGCGAACACGTCAGGGTCACCGTGACGATCAGCTTTAAATCGTTCGCGTCGCTCGGCTTTGCGATTTGCTCCGGCGCCGCCTTGAGCACGCGCTTCAGCTCGTTCGGGAACACGTTCCTTCGCTGCGGGTTCTTCAGCGCGCTGTTCCACAACCACGAATCCTCTCTCATCGCGTTCAGGGCGCCGCGCACCGTGGACGTCGCGATCTCCAAGGCCTCGGCGCGCTCGCTCGGCGGTAACGCTCTGACTTTGGATAGTTCTTTATCGATTTCATCGTACTTTTCGGCCTTTGAAGCGTTGGCCGTGACGTATGAGCGGGATTTGAGTTGAACGCGGTGCCCGCGAGCGTTTGCGCGCGTCTTCGAGAGCGCGACGCGACCGGGGGCGACGGCGGTCGAGGCAGAGAGCATCGCGGAGAGGCGGGTTCTGCGGAGCGGGACGCGAGCGACACGGGTGCTTTGCGACGTTGCGAAAGATCGTGCGTTTGTACAACGGTTAAACGACGGGGTAATAATGTAATTAAGTTTTCTATCTACGCCGCGTAATCGATCTCGTTGGACAAGATTTGGTCGAGGGTTTGTTTGCGTCGGATGCACACCATGTCGCCGGCGCCGCGGCGCATGACCTCGGGCGCCTCCGGGAATGAGTTGTAGTTCTTGGACGCCATGCCCGCGCAGTACGCGCCCGATCCCTCGATGACGATGAAGTCGCCGATGTTGACCTCGCCCATGGTGCGCTCGGAGATGGTCTCCGGCTCGTCCGGCGCTGGCGTCATCAAGTCGCCAGATTCGCAGCAGTGTCCGACGACGACGTACTCGGCTTGCGTTTCAGGAAGGGTACCATCCTTGGTCACGCTCACGAGCGGGTGCTGAGAGCCGTACAGGCTCGGGCGGAGGACCTCGGTCATCCCGCAATCGAGCTTCAAGAAGGTGTGACCCTCGGCGGTGCCCGTGGTGACCTTGTCTTGGACTCTCGTGACGACGGCGCACGAGTTGGCGAGCAAAAACGTGCCGGGTTCAATCTCGAGCTTGAGCTTGCGACCGGTCTCCTCGGCGAACTTCTCGAACGCTTCCTTCACCGGCACGCCGACGACGGCGAGATCGGTGGACTTTTCGTAGGACATGCGTCCAACCTTGTATCCACCGCCCAGGTTGAGCGTCGTCACGTCCGGGAACTCTCGGCACAGATCGAGCGACATCCCGCTCACCTTTTGCCACACCGCCGGGTCGCTCCCGCTACCGATGTGCGTGTGCACGCGCACCACCTTTAGATTGTACTCGGCGACAATCTCCTTCACCCGCGGCAGGAGCTCGTACCAAATCCCAAAAGACGAGCTCGGACCGCCCACGTTCGTCTTCCCGGTCCCGCCGCTCCCCAACCCAGGATTAAACCGCACGCCGATCTCCCCCCCCGGAAACGCCGCGCCGAACCGCTCGAGCTGATCGAGCGAGCACGCGTTGATCCGCACCCCCTTCTCCACCAACTCGGGAAAAAAACTCGGCAACTCCTGTGTCGATAACGAAATCTCATCCCCCGCGAACCCCGCGCGCATGGCGCGCTCGCACTCGTACCCGCTGCTCGCGTCGACGTGCAAACCAGCCTTTTTAAAAATCTTCAAAATCGCCGCGTTCGGCGACGCCTTCATCGCGTATCGCACCGTCAACCCGTACGCGTTCGGGAACCCCTTCGCCACCGCCGCTCGCGCCTCGAGCGTGGGCGCGTCGTAGACGTACGTCGGCGTGCCGTGCGCCTCGGCGACTTTCACGACGTCGTTCGCGGTGAGAAACCGCAGGGTCTCATCGACCCCATTCCCGGGTCCCGCGCGCGTCGGTCGTCCTCGCGCGCCGTTCCAGCGCGTCGGTCGCCCGCGCGTCGGTCGCGCGGTCGCCCATCGCGGTCGCGCGCGCGTCACCGCCATGCTCGAGCGCGGGCGGGCGAATCGCGAACGTCGCGGGGCGCGACCGCGGGGAACCCAGGGTTTCGAACCCTCGAGAATGGTCCGCGTGTGTGTTTGTGAGACTGGCCCTCGAGAACGGTCCGCGTGTGTCATCGTGAGACTGTGTGAGCCTGTGTGCAAATAGGTCCGCGTGAGAATTTGTGAGACTATCCATCTCCGCACCCGCGTGTGGGCGTAACACCATCGACGGGCGCGATGGACGAGGACGCGCGCCTGCTCGACGCCTCCGCCGCCGACGGTGACCGTGGACGATGGCGACGTCGACGCGCGCTCGCGCTCGGCGTCGCCGTCGCGGCGTCGCTCGGTGTCGTCGCGTTCGGCGCGCGCGCGGATGGGACGCGGACGTGGCGACGGACGGGGGCGACGGCGACGGCGACGGCGACGACGACGATCGTCGTGCTCGGCGATGCGAGTGAGGGTGAAGATCTCGAGCGCGCGCGGACGTCGATGGCGTACGCGGAGCGGGCGATGGTGATGGATGGGGCGTCGGCGGATCGCGCGCGGACGCGCGTGCGGTTCAGCGCGGGCGTCTTCCCGAGTCGATGGCCGGATACGTTGAGCTTGGCGAGCTCGTATGTGAATTATTATCGCGATGGGAAGTGCTGCGATGACGAGAGCGTGGAGTCGAGGTATCCGTTTGATGATATTTTGAAGAGCGAAAAGATTAATCGGTGCGCGCCGGGGCATCGGTGCGGCGATCCGACGCTGACGCATCACTTGGGGTGCTTCACCTCGCACTTGGGGGCGTTCGAGGAGGGTTTGAGGACGGAGGGAGATAAGTTTGTTATCTGGGAATCCGATGCGCCGCACATGGCGTCGGTGCACGTGGCGGATTACGACGAGTTGGCTCGACGCCTCCCCGCGGACGCAGACATGGTGTGGATGCAGGTACACCAAAACGCTCCAGGGCCGTTCGTAGGTAAGTTCCCTTCCAAGGCGAGCGGTAAGTGGACCGCGGAGATGCGTAATGAGCAGCTCGAGGCACATAACGCGTCGAGCAGCGTGTACCTCTATCGCTTCAACAAGCAAACCGGTTGGGCGGGTTCGTCGAATATCATGTGGACGCGCAAAGGTTTGTTAAAGGTGCGCGAATACATCAAGGAAAAAGGCGGCGACATGATCGACGCCTGGCTCTACATGGGTTGCATGAAACGATGCGAGACGCATGATTGCATGAATTTGGTGTGCTACGACGCTCAGACGAGGGCCATTCCCAAGGAATGGCTCGGAGGTTTCGTGCCCAACTGGTACGAGCAGGATGGCGTCGACCGCGCGGTCGATCCCGAGATGTATCTCCCCTTCGACAAGGAACACCTCAGATACAACCAGATGGGATGTGAAAGAGGTGGTGCAGATTTCGAGCAGCACGGTGCCTTCTTCCCGGTCGGCTTGGAGGCGGACGGCGAGGTCTTTGAGGACACCATTAATAACGTCTTGTCGTACGAGGGCGCGATGCAGGCTTTGGTGAACCCGTGCGCCACTGCGCTCCCGCTCCATCCACCGCGCGTCGACGCGCGAACCGCCTCCGTGGCTTCGCTCGCGTTACGTAAGAAGAGCACAGACGGCATTCTCTTCCAGAGCACCAGAGTGATAGCCGAAGACGTACTCATCACGGCGCTGCGAGAAGAGCGATCGAAATCATCCGAAGCGCGTTAACGCCTCGCGCGCGATCAATCGACTGCATTCACGGTCGCGTTATACAACACTATGCAAACATGTTCTTTAAACGTAAAAAGTTGTCATGATAATTTTCACGTCATCTTCGAAGCGTCGTTTCGAAGCGTCTCACGTCTCGACATCGTCGCGGTCGCCCGCGCGCGAACAAACCGCCGCCGCCGCGCGCCGTCCGCACAAGTCGACGCGTCATGTCGCGTGTAGTCCAACCCGCGACGCAACCGTCGACATGCACCCACCGTGTGCCTTCTGAACGCATCAAGAGTCGTTGCGGCGTCCGAACGCGCGCGAATTCGCGTCCGGAAGATGAAACCGCGTCCACGAGCAGACGCCAAATCATCAACTCGTTCGCCTCTCTCTCCCTCGTGATCCCTCTGGAGGCAACCGCGACGACGAAGATCGAATACGATAGACGTCTGGTAGATGCCTACGCGTTCGATGTCCCCCTCAAGGTCAGAGCGCTTCGTGGGAGCACGGCGCAGAACGCGAGCAGGGAATTCGCGCAGACGCAAACGAGACGCGTCAAGTTGGAGCTGAGCACGACGCCGTCGATCGCGCGTTCGTATGAGGAATTGTTACGGCCAGGAAAGAGAATTGGTAAAAAGGGGATAGATTGCGCGACCTTAGGGGACGAGTGGTTGCGACCGGCGATCGAACGCGGGTTGATATTGCCGATACCGAATGCAGAGCGGAGCGCGTGGTGGAACGCGATCCCGCCGGTGTGGAGACAGCTCGTGCGGAGAGATCCGAGGAGTGGTTTGCTGAGCTCGAGTGGGGATATCTTCGGGGCGCCGTACAGGTTCGGGTGCGTGACGATCGCATACAGGAAGGACAAGCTGCCAAAGGGGGTGAAGCCGCCGACGGATTGGAGCGACTTGTTTGATCCGCGCTTGCAGGGGATGATCGGGATGCCAAACGCGCCGAGGTTGGTGCTGAGCGCGGCGTTGAAGGCGGAGGGGATGTCGGTGAACGTCGGGGACGTGGGCGGGGTAGACGGAAGGGTGAGCGCGCGCGTGCGTCAACTGCGTGAGAGCGTGAAGGTGTTTGATGATTTGCAATACTTGCAAGCCCTCGCGTGCGGCGACTGCGCCGTTGTCGTCGGGCCGTCGGAGGACGTATTCTCCGTCGCGAGACGATCGACACTGATCGTTCCCGTGGTCCCGCGATCGGGGACGACGCTCTGGAGCGATTGCTGGGTGGTACCGACGACGAGTGTCACAAACGTCGGCGGCGGGCCATCGCCCGCGTTGGAACAATGGATAAATTACACCCTCTCGCCGGCGCGCGTGAACATGCGAGTCGGTTTGAAGGGAGGTATTTCACCGCTCATGTTCGACGGTCGCGGTATCGAGAGTGGTTACGCGCGGTATCCTAACGTTGCTCGTCCCGTGCTCGGGACATCCGATGAAGACATGCTCAAGGGTTGGATTCCAGACGACTCTGTCTGGGCTGCGAGCGAGTTCCAGCTCCCTCTGACCGATCGCGTTCGCGCACAATACGTTGCGATGTCGCGACGGTGATGATTCCACGTAGCACTGAAGAGTACATTTATTGGGTCATCATAAGGTTCGTTGCGCGAGTTGCTTCGCTCGCATTCTATTACAATTGTCACGGAGTTGCCGCGCTTGACACTCGCGCCGATAGCGCCTCTTCTTGCCGAAGCAACGCTCGGAATCGATCGACGCGTTCCCGTAGCCGAGCGACGTCTTCTGCGCGTTCGGCTAAGACTGTTTCTAGATCGTCCAAGTAGGCGTCCACCCCGCTTCCGGGCTCGTCGACTCGTTCTAGGAATTCCATCTCGCGTCGCACCATCGCCATCGATCGCTCGACGTGCGCCCGGTGCTCGGCAATGATGGTATCTTCTTCACCAAGTATAACGTCAATTAAAGCGTCGTGCGCGCGAACAGCTTCCTCGCGCGATGTGGGTTCGACAGTGCCCAATCCAGGCGTGGCGAGCGGCGCACTCGACGTACAACGAGCGACGTCCGTGTCTCGAGCGCTCGGTGCGCTCGCGCGCGACTCCAACCTCGTCGTTGTCGACGCCAACGTAAAAGTAGACTGCGAATGACGCGGTGTTGAGGGCATTGAGGATCGACGTTGTGTCTGCATGGACTGTCGATGCCGGCGCGCCAAGCCAGCCGTCGAAGCCGTCGGCGACCCAGTCGTCGATGTTTCACTCCCGCGCGTGAGCTCTCGCACGCGATCGGCGTATCGAAGTGTGTTCAAGGTGTGCTCGCATGATCCCTCCGCTGGCGAGACATTAGCGATCATCACCGTTCTGGAGTCTCCCAGGAAGGAGTCTCGCAAGACCTCTGTGAGCTTCGATCCGCGAAACGGAACGTGCGTCGCTCCAGAATCAAGTGCTCGTATGCACTCCTTCAAAGCTAAGAGCGACTTGTTTATCTCTGCACCTTCGATGCGAGTCTGACGATCGTTGTCCGTCGTGTCCGCACCGCGTTCGCTTCCGGCCAAGTCGATGAATGACAGCTTGCCAAAAATTTCAGCTGTGAGAGGCTCTCCTGTGGTGAACGCCGCGTGCTGCGCCTTGGCTTGATCCACCGGTCGCTTCAAAACGAGCTGCAAAATCGCGTGCGAGCGCGAAGATTCCGAGTTTGCACCGGTACAGCCCACGCATCGAGCCTTGGCGCCACGTTCGATGAGCTTGTCGAACGCTTCGGCGCCGACGACGCAATGTTCCTGTAGTCCCACGACGCAAATCTGAGATTTAGAATCCTCCAGCACGCGAAGCTTTCGACGAGCGTTCAAGAGATCGAACACGCGTCCACCGTAAATCTCAAACGCACTCAACCAGAGTTGCAGGTTTCCCCTTGCGTCGTCGGAGTCACGAAATTGATCCACCGCCGAGAGAAAGTCTCTGGCCGCGCGACCCGGAAGCGGCTGCATTGTGTACGTCTTCCCACTTCCCGTTTGACCGTACGCGAAACAGGTTGCGTTCGCTCGCTCTAACACGAAATTCACGAGTGGTTCGACTTCGCTAGCATAGATCTCGTCGTTCGACACCGATGCGTCGTACACGGCGTCAAACGCAAATGCGTGCGACTCCACGAAACGTGTCAAATCCACCTTTACCTTTGGCTCCCACACTGTGAACTCGGACGCCGCGGCGTCGCTCGTGCATATATCCCTCTCCTTTTTTGTCATTTCCTTGCCGTTTAGCGGACGCTTACGCACCGAAACGCGAATCTTCGACTGCGCGCGAGGGGCCGGCATCACTTTTTTCAAAGACGGCGCCGCCGACCCAGCATCGCCCGCGGGAACGATTTCAGGCGATCGTTCTTGCCCGTCTAGCATCCTTCGTTCGTCGACGTTTTTCGTCGCTCCACTCTCGATATCATCTTTCCTTGCCTCGACATCGACGTATTTGTCTTCGTCTTCGTCGTGTTCCGTCGAGCGCTTGGCCTCGACGCGCATCTCTCGCACCATGCGCATCACCCTCGATCGATCCGCCACATCCCTGATCTCCATCTCGTCCAACTTCTCCGATGTCAGCGCACGCACGCCATCGTCGCCTAGCTTGACGAGAACGTCCCTGTACCGCGCCAATCCGTGCGCGCGCACCGCCCTGCGCGAAACGTCGAGCATCCGCCTCCGCGTCAGTCCTCTCCTTCATCCCTTTCCTCCGACCGCACCCTCGCCCGGTCGCAGTTTCACACCGCAGTCGAAATCACTTCTCGCACCACACGCGCGCGCGACACCGTGGACGCACCGTCGCGTCGCCACCGCCCGAGCGACGCTCATCGGCGCGTTTTGACCGAAAAGCACACAAAGTCGCCGGTTCGTCTTCCGCGTCGTCTTCCGCCCCACCCCCCCGCGCGCGCGCGCCCGACGCGCGCGCGAATCGCGAAAATCACGCGTTCGTTCCGATCGTCGCCGTCGCTCGCGATCGGCGCGGCGACGCGCGCTGAAGTGACGCGTCGTCATTTCGTGAGGCGTTGACCGGGCGCCCGCGCGCGCGCGCCCGACGCGCGCGTCCATCGCGCGAGGCGCGAACGACGAAAGAGCGCGCGTTGAGCGCTCGCGCGTCGAACGCGGCGCTCGCGCGGGGCGCGGCGAGGCGAAAACGCGATGGATGCGAGCGCGGAGAGCGAGGGCGTCGACGCGCGAAGAAACGCTCTCTCGGCCGACGCCGAGGGCTCGACGCGCGCGGAAGACGGAGGCGGGGAAACGGAGACGACGGTGGTGTCTGCGCGCGATGCGCTGGCGAATGCGATCCGGGACGCGACGTTGATCGCGCGCGGCGGCGGCGCGGCGACGAACGACGCGAACGGAGACGCGAACGATGAGATGGAAGACGCGAACGAGGGGAGAGAGGTTTATCAGGGAAGGCTCGTGAGCGCGCTGGTCGCGGCGGAGCATGGAGCGCCGACTGCGGCGCTGTTTGTGATCGTTTTCGTGTACTTGCACTGCGCGGCGTTGGCGTTCGTGGCGTGGTTGACGTACGCGTCGCGGAGGATGAACGCGGTAACGCAGGCGTGCGTGAGCGCGAGAGATGAGAGGAAATTAAGCGAGGTGGTGACGTACGCGTCGTTGGTAATCGGACACGTCGTCGTGATTTGGTGGTTGACGCCGTCGGGACGTCGAGCGAGACAGTTTTTCAGGACGGGCGCGGAGTCACCAAGTTTCATCACGAGTCTACTCGACGTATTTGTTCTCGATTCGAGCGCACGATTCGTTTTCATTCTTTCAAAGCTCGTCGTCGTCGCTCTGCCGCTGTCGACGTTGCAGAAGTTGTTACGAGCGCGAGGACGCGCGTCCGGGGCGACGTCGCCAAAAGTCTCGACGGTGAAGATGCCCCCAGCGCGTCTCTACAGGCGCAGAGCGTCGTTGTTGAGCATGATCGAGTACGCGAGTTTGATGGTTCGAAGTTTGGTCCCGGTCTCCGTGTGGTTGGCGTACTTTCAGCGCGAGTTACCGAAGGTGTTAGCATCCATCATCACGGGCCTCTACCTGTTGACCAAGTCGCGAGGTTTGGTGCGCAGCGGCTCGGATTTCGTCAAGGCCGTATCGGCGTGGTTATCGCTCGGTTCGCGCTCGTCCGCGAACGGCGAGATGGCCACGAGGGAGGATCTCATGGAGGCGGGAGACGTATGCGCAATTTGTCAGGAGAAGTGTGTCGACGCCATCAAGCTTCGATGCTCTCACATATTTTGTGACGACTGCATCGGCGAGTGGTTCGACAGACAACCCTCGCGAGGGGCTTCGGGTTTGTCGAAAACGTGTCCAACGTGTCGTGCGGTCGTGCAGAGCGGCGTACAGCGATCGTACGGAAACGGCGCGAGCTCCCTCCTTCCGATTTTGTTTTGAGTGGGGCATCGCGCGCGCCCACCTTGTACAGTGCTTTGTTTTTAGGAAAAAAGAATCAGTGTGATATTAATGCAAGTTTACTTGGAACTAGAGCATATGCGGGAAGTTTTGCTACACGTTCGATACGCGGGTTCAACTCGAGTTCTTTGCCTGGCGCGTCAACGCACGCTTCAGAGCTTTTCTTGGCCATCCGCTGCGCGGAGTTGGCCGAGCTCGGTCGGCGCTTGCGTACCACAAATGGTGGACTTCGCGAACGCCGCGGCGGTATCAACACCAGAGGCAGCCTCTTCGGCGATCTTGGAGGAGATCCACTCAAAGGTCACCTTCAAGCCGTCCTCGAGCTTGACGGACGGAGCCCAGCCGAGCTTCTCCTTGATGAGGTCGTTGTTGGAGTTACGACCGCGCACGCCCTCCGGACCCGGAATGTGCTTGATCGGGAGATCCTTGCCCGCGAACTTGAGAGCCATCGCTTGCATGTCGTTCATGGAGATCATCTCATCGGAGCCAATGTTCACCGGCTCGGCGAAGTCGCTCTTGGTGAGGCGCAAGATGCCCTCGACGCAGTCGTCAATGTAGGTGAACGAGCGAGTTTGCTTACCGTCGCCCCACATCTCGACCTCGGTGGTCGCCGTCGCGGCCTTGCGACAGAACGCCGCCGGAGCCTTCTCGCGACCGCCCTTCCACGTGCCGTACGGACCGTAGATGTTGTGGAAGCGGCCGATGCGCGTCTGGATGCCAAAATCTTGTTGGTAGTGCTTGTACACTTCCTCAGACGCGAGCTTCTCCAAGCCGTACGCGTCTTGCGGCTGCGCCGGCCACGCGCACGATTCCTTCAAGCCGTCTTGCATCTCGGTGCTCAGCTGCGTCCCCTCCGGGTAAATGCACGCGCTCGACGCGTAGAAGCATCGAGTGACGTTTTGCACGCGCATCGCCTCCATCATGTTGAAAGAAATCATCACGTTGTTGTAAAAGATCACCGAGTGGTTGGACTGAATGAAACCCATCCCACCCATATCCGCGGCGAGGTTAAAGCAGTGATCGCACCCCTCGAGCACCTTTTTACAGTTTTCGTAGAGACGCAAGTCGACCAAGATGAACTCGTCGCAAAACATCTCCTCCGGCATGTGTTCATTGCGCTTCCAATCGCACGCGACGATGTGATGCCCCTCTTCCTTCAATCGCTTCGCCAGGTGACTTCCGATGAACCCCCCCGCGCCCGTGACGCAGATTTTCAGCTTCTTCTCCGGCCAATACGGCTCGCTCCCGTACACGCCTCGCAATTCGTACCCTGCGCGCGTCACGCCAACGCGTCGTCAGTCCACACCCATCGCACGTCGCCCCTCCGCCTCGCGCGCGATCGCGAGATACATCCCACGCGCACCATCGGGCGACCCATCGGGCGGAGCACCCGCGTTCGTCGCCCGACGTCCCCGACGCGCGCGCGCCGTTTCCGGGTTCCGCACGTCGCGCGTCGCGCTCGATCGCCCCCTCCCGCGTCCACGCCGACCGTCGCCCGCGCCGTCGCGCGCGCGCGATCGATCGAGGAATATTCACGCGCGCCGTCACCGCGAACGCGTCGTCCATCGCGCGCACCCGCCGCCGCCATCGTCGCGTCGTCACCGTCTGTCGCGGTCGCGGTCGCGGTCGCGGTCGCCGCCGTCGACGTCGACCGCGCGTCCGCGGCGGCGTCGATGGGCGTGTGTCGTT